ATACTCTTGTATAGCTTGTGATTCTCTAACTATAAGTTCTACTTTTCTCCGGATTTGAATTTACCAGCTGGTAATTTAGGCATTTAGCATTTGACTTTGAATTATAAAGTTGCAAAATATTTAGCATACAGGCATTTTCTGGATTAATTATGTTAACGTTTTACCTGTCATTTGTTAGCTATTGAATTTTTGGGTTTCAATTTGGCATCTTGTTTTAAAGTTTCAAAATATACAGTGTCATTTCGAAATTTTCTGAACTAATTTGGCATGGACAAAGTGTATTTTAGCTTGCTATTTGCTAAACTCTTCTATTTTTGTCTGGATTTGAATGTACAGTCAATAACTCTCTATAACGACTCATCTGCAATAACGTCACCCTCTAAATAACGTCAATTTTTTTTTGATTTGGTTAGCCACCACACAAAATGGTAAGAAAAAGACCTCTATACAACGATACACTTATAACGTCAACCTCTATATAACGTCACTTTTCGTACCTTTTTAAAGATTTGTTTGCTAAAATGCTACTACCACCAAGATCTGCACCGATGGAAGCTCCAGCTGGACCTGGCAAAGGAGCTGGCAAAGCCTTCAACGCAAACCACCGCGACCCTCTTACTCATTGCGACCAGGCGGGCATCGCGCTCAAGTCGGCAATGGTCGGGTATAAGTGGTCCGCTCAAGCGCCATCCATTTTCAGGGCTAGTTGATTCGGCAGGTGAGTTGTTACACGCTTCTTAGCGGGTACCGACTCCCATCGTCACCGTCTTGTTGTCTATATCAACTAACCCCTTTCATGGGGCCTCATGAGTGGACACTTAAGCACTTTAACCCGACGTTTGGTTCATCCCACAGCGCCAGTTCTGCTTACCAAAAATGACCCACTAGGAGCTCTCGTTCAGGGTCACAGCACTTAAGAAACTGCAACATCATACCTACCATGCTTTTAGCTTTACAAAATGGGATTTTATCCAAAATTTGTGCCAAAAGTGGCATTTTTATAGTTTTGTTTGCTAATTACAGCAATCGATCAAAAAAACCATTCGAGCTTGATCTTTTGGACTCGTTTCAGCTGCTTGACCAATCATGGTCCGAAGTGAAAGCTGCGACGTTGGCACATTGTTGCAAGGCAGTTTTTAGAAAAATATGATGATGACAACATCATCAACAACAATGATGAAGATGAAAATGTGAAAAGATTTTTGGAGGATTTCTTGAAGAAGTTGATCATCACGGCATTGGGGATTCTATGAATGCCATGGATTTTGCTTTGGTTGATTAAAACGTTGTCATATCAAGTATAAAAACATTGAAAAAAAATTACAGCCGATAACAAAGTTAATGATTGCTCGGAAGTGTCTTCGGAAAGCGATATCGACGAATTCCTTGAAGTGGAAGAGCCAATTTCACGGATCGAGGCTCAAGGATCGAGCCTATCAATATTTTCAAATGTTTTGAAATTATGGAAGAGAAGATTCGAACAAAGAATTTCTGCCAGCTAAATATACCATTGATTTTTTGATACCGAGTCTGTTGTTAGCAGTAAACAGACAAATTTAACTGCTTTTTTCTCGAAACTTTAAAAATTATTAATTTGTCTGTTTTGATTGTTAATTTTTTTTCAATAAATTACTTGAAAAACCTCTACATAACTCAATCGGTTAAAAACCTAACGTTGCTTGTTTCTCTACGACACCTCTATCTAACAACACCTCTATCTAACAACACCTCTATATAAGGACACCTCTATTTAACGGCACCTCTATATAACGAAACCTCTATATAATGTCACCTCTATATAAAGACACCTCTATATAATGTCACCTCTATATAATGTCACCTCTATATAATGTCACCTCTATATAATGTCACCTCTATATAACGACATCTCTATAGAATGTCACCTCTATCTAACAACACCTCTATATAAGAACACCTCTACTTAACGGCACCTCTATATAACGAAACCTCTATATAAAGACACCTCTATATAATGTCACCTCTATATAACGACACCTCTATATAACGTCACTCTGCTCTCGGTCCTGAAGGGTGTCGTAGAGAGGTTTGACTGTATTGGTAAAAAGTATGTTTCAAAGTATTCCAGTAATTAAACTCTAATGAACTCTAAACTCTAATGAGCCAAAAACTAGTCCACTTTCATTTACAATTCAGATATAATTAACAAATACTAACATTTTTTTGGCATATCCAACTTTTTGATAACACGATAATTTCTTAACTACGATATTTCAATCCTCTATTTAAAAATGCATCTATCTCCTTGTTATCAAAAGTAACTTATCCCCAATGGATAAGTCTCTTTAAAAAAGTGTCAACCCATGCTGTTTTGCAGTTTTTCGTTTTTTTTCTTTTTTTTGTGCACACTGAATTATCAATAGCCCAATTGACTAAATAAATCTTGTAAAAGCAAATCGTTCGTAAACTCGTAAAGAATTTAATTTAGACAGCTATCATAATCATTAGACATTTGCATTTTCAGTCCGTTCGTCAATAGGTGTAAAACGGAAATTCACGTCTTAAGCCCCTTAAAAATCGACTTTTTCAAAAGTTTTTCCACTATTAGATAGAGCCATTAGATAGTAAAATGCTATCCAAAGCTAAAAAACGTTTGAAAGGGTTGATTTTAAAGCGCTTAAGACGTGAATTTCCGTTGCACACCTATAAACGAGCGGACCGAAAATGCATTTTTCCAATTTTTGCCTTAATATCAAAATTTGCATGCTTAAATTAAATGAGTGAGTGAATCGGAGGTAGAAAGGCGTATTTCAACTCTTTTCCACTTCAAATGCTATCCCGAAACTCTGACAGTCACTCAAAGATACAATATCTCGGTCTCTTGTCACATTATCCTAGTCATTCCTGATTTTTTTGTGTTTATTCAAAAGTTTAATGTATTCAGCAGATACCAAAATAGATGGGGGCAGGGTGCGAAAATTTTGAATTTACAACCATCCCACAACCCGATGGTTTATGAGGCTGGGTGAACAAAGGATTGGGGGAACGATTGGAACGATTGGAAAAGGGATGGGAACAGATGAGTGACGCACAGAGATTCACCCAGAAAATCACCCAGAAAATCACCATTTCCACAAACTTCTCACTTTAAATCCTATTTTCTATTACTATTCACAGATCATGTGCGATTGTGCCCTTCTCCCTTTTGTTTTCCCTTCGAATAACTAGAAATTTAGGTTAGGAAGCCTAAAGTACGCGTTGCGAAAGGAAACTCATCTTTTGTTTTTCCTTAGAATCCTTAGCAGCTATAGTTTTTGATTTCAAATCGAGATTCTACAAAAACACTAAACGATTCCATATTGTTCCGGTGTGAGGATAATGAGAATCTCTAGCCAATTCAATTTTCTAAAACGTTTCCTTTCTCTTTCAACCTTCTTGTCTCTAATTTTTATCCAATCTATCCACTTTTTGGATCTTTCAATATCGGTTAGTCTCTGGTTCGAATCCATGAGATTAGCCAGGGGTCTCTTCCCTGATCCGAGTACTGTAGGCTTCGTCCGATTTTGATTAGATGGGTAGACTAGTCAACTTAATTTAATATAGCCTAGTATTGTGTGTGTTGTGAAACGTGAATGGTGTATTTCCTGTATGCAATAAACCCCCCCCCCACTGGTAACCCCAGTTGGTATATATGTTACGTCCGAATCTGAGGAGACGTCCATCTCCGATCCGGATGTCCGAATCTGAGGAGATTCATTCTCCTCTGAAACGGACGTCCGACTCTGAGTCCGACTCTGAGTCGGACGTCCATCTCTGAGTCGGACGTCCGTTTCAGAGGAGAATGAATCTGGTCGCCAATGTGTTAAATTGAAACTCAGGATTTTAAAGCCGCCTAATAGTCAATTCCATTCCGGATTCCGGATCAATTCCCCACACCAATAATACTAAAGCAATTGCCCTATCTGTTGCCAGAAATGTGTCCGGCTAGTGGAAATCCCGTTATTGGTTTCCGGTCTTTAGCGTGTGACTCTTCCCATTGCCCTCATCTCCCTTCCAGTCACTCCCCCAATCCTTCATCCATTCTTGGTCCTCCCCTTTTCCTCAATTCTTCTTTTTGTTATGTTCTGCCCTTTCTATTGGCACCCAATTTCCGCTAATCCTTTTTTGTCGTTGTTCCCATCTTTTTCCTTTTTTCCTTTTTTCATGTAGACATCCCAATACACCCCCGAGGAGACCTTTATGTCATTTCTCCGTTTTTTTCTTTTTTCTCCAGCTTCAGTTTTTTAAGTGCTAATCCGCCCAAATGCTAAACATTGACATTTTTGAAAAATTAAAAATTTAGGTTTCAAGTTCTTTCGTTTGACCAAAGCATTTACCTCTTTAATTTATTTTGCGTTTTTTGTTTGAAGAATTTCCTTTGAAGAATTTTCAAATAGAATTTCCGTTCTGAATTAAATCAATAAAGCTATTGTAAGTCTATTATAAATCTTTTGTAAGTCTTTTTATAGTGCACATCTGGTAAAGCTACTACAGTATTCCGGTCATTGTTTAGAAGTTACCGTAGCTGAGTGAGCCGGACAAACGTTTACTCTAATAAAAATTTGCTTTTTATCAAAAGTCAGCTGGATTACGGTAGATCTTTTAGAGTGTAGCTGGTTTTCCAAAAAAAGGGCAACCTGATTACGGTAGCTTTTAGTTATTCTCGGGTTTTTTACAGTAATCCATCTCCTATTCTGCACTAACTTTAGCCAATAAGCAAGTCTACTATCGAAGCAAGTCTACTATCGAAGCAAGTCTACTATCGAATGCTAATTGTGGTAATTCTTGTAAGCTACTTCCTAGCCCGTTAGTTAAAATCTTTCGTTTCCCCCACAGCTTTTTCTTTCTAGTAAAAGCTAATCTCTTCATATTTTATGCATGTTTTCCCATGAGATGTCCACATTTTCTCAGAAAAAAAGCTCTGACCAATGCCAAAAATTTCAGAACAACAAAAAAATCATCTAAATGCAAAACTTTTCATGATGGAAACCTCGACAAGTCGACACCAGTTGGAGCATTTTCTGCAAACACTTCAGCCAAAGGTATTGCAACCGGAGATTTTGTTTCGGGAATATAAGTTGCACGAAATTGTTTTCTAAACCGTGTCCTTTTTATCTCGGTATACTGTAGCTGAATTGTTTCAGAAAAAGAATTACTTGAAAGGAACTTGTATGGGCGCTGTTTTGAACGGCGCTATTTTTGTACGGGCGCTGTTTTGAATGGCGCTGTTTTGGCGCTATTTTGACTAGGTCCCAGACTTTGACTTTGACTCGGCTATAATCATCAATCACAAATTTTCAGCAAGAAAACCTCGACTCGGCCTCGTTAATGCAATCGTTTCACGAGGATTTAAGGTAAGTTTTATAAAAATCAAGTACAAAAAAAGCAACAGGATCCAAATCAAATGTTTAACGTAACTTTCTCTACCGTAATACCTGTACTGGTTTGTCGCTTTGCATAAAATCTGTACAAAAGAGGTCGATATTACAGGGATTACGGTACTTATATCGATGATCGATACATTTTTCAACTTTCAGTGGCACTTTCAACGAGTTTGAGTCAACTTTCCAAGATGTGATGACCCAATCGATGATTGACGACAATAAACCCACTGAAAAGGTCAAAGGAAAGAACTCAACGTGTACAAATAGCAAGCTTTAATAAAAGTTATATCTTCTGCTCAACATTTTTGAAACACAGTTAGCTCTTGAAGCTTTTTCGCAGTTTGTTTTAAAATTTCTTAAAAAGTTTGTTAAAATAAAATGGCTTAATTTAATTAACATATTTTATTTCAAATTTTAAGATATTCGATCGATTACTTGAATATTTTACTTGCTTTTAAGACTAAAAGTATTTTCACAAGTTTTTCAGCCGTTTTTAGGCAAAGTTTTACACTTGTGGCTAGAGCGTGCTCCTCTCAAGTAATAGCTTTCTATAACGCGCCCTTTAAAGGCAACAATTAAAGATATTCAGTTTACGATATTGAATATTTTGAATTTCGCCTTTGGAGGGCGCGTTATAAAAGCAATTACTTGAGCGGATGAAATACTCTACTTCTGGCTCTTTGTTCGTTCCTTGTAGCTAAAATTCGCATCCCGCGCTCTTTCTACCGTAGTTCTGTTCTTTGCAAAGGGTAATTTTGCGTCAGAGAACTGGTCGCCTTTTTAAACCCCAGCTCGATAAGCTTAAGCCTTTCCAAAATGTTTGCTTTCTTAATTTCTTTGATTCACTTTAGAGTTAAGATGTTATTGGTAGTGCGCAAAGTTTATTGAACACATCTGTGACACGCGCTTGCTTTTGCATTTTCTCTCTTTTCCATGATCGATGATGACTCATCTTGGTGATTAACGTGTAGTTGTTTCATGTTTCGTTTCAGCGTGACCGAATCGATCATGTACACCGGCTATGATAGCATCGTCGATTTGTGTGTGCAAAGTGTGATGGCATCCGCGAGGAATATGACCACCGATCAGCTGAAGGCCCTTCTCGAAGATGACGCTCAAATGGAGGCGATGATCGACGGACTTTCACAGGTTTGTTATATTTTTCTGAATTTTTTATTTGCTTTGGAGTGAGATAAACTTTTGATGGGCAACTAACAAACACATTTGTTGTTGTGACTACCGAAATAAGTGAAAATGTCAAAGTATCTAGAATTTTGTTACTACCTAGGCTCGTAAGAAACGGTATGCTTTTAACGTCGTAAAACTTTGGTATTGAACTCTTGTACTTCTGATCCGTTTTCAGATCCGAAACGTTCCCCAAGACAAAAAGACGGAGCTTGCGCAAAACAAATCATTGGCTGAATGGAATTTGGCACAGGTACTAATTTGTTTGTCACGTTTGAAGTACACATTGCTTTTAGGAGCCTCGAATCAATCAATTGAAGGCGCAAGTGAAAGTAACACATGCAAATGCACAACAATTGAAGCAAGAAGTCGAAGGGTTAAAGAGCCAATTAGGTAAATTATTTTTCCTTACTTCGTTTTGCATGAACGAGTGAATACAGAGCAAGTTGTGTGACATAAAATGTCGTCTGTTTTAGATAAAACATCCACTGATCGATCCCTGGAAACGACAAGTGCTTTACTGCAAGTGGAAGTTCAAAAAGCTGATGAAGAAGCTGAGGTAACTTCTTATATGCGAGACTAGGCTTATTGAAACTCTTAATTTTTGGTTTATGAAAACATTTTTAGGAACTCGCTCGGCAATTCGAGGATGGAGCGCTAAGCGCTGATGTCTTTATTAAAGGATTTCTCGAAAAGAAAAAGCTCGCACACACAAGGTAAAAAAAAAGTTTTTAATTATGTTAGGGGTGTTAAACTAGGTCATTACGCTTTTTCTGGTCTACGAAACGGTTAGCCATTTTATGTATTCAAAGCTATTTATCTAGGAAATTGTTATTTAGAAAAATCAAGTCAGAGAAGCTGGCAAACTTACTACAAGATCAATTGTTCAATACACCAATGGGCGGTCGATCTACTTCAATGGTTCAACCTCCCTATCCAACCGCATACCCAGATATTCCGCAGCCAAATGTGAATCGGCATTCCTTGTGGTAATTTCTTAACGGTTTTGAGGACCCAGGTATTTCCTTTCTTTTCCCTTATCTTTCCTTCTTTATCTTGGCAAGTTAAGATACCTAATAGCCCCGTGGTTATAGCAATTGCCCGGAAAACAAAAGGTCGAGGGTTCAACCCCCTCTCCGGAAATCTACTTTTTCACTCCTTTATTAACCTTAAAAATTGTAAGCTTATTATATTTTTCGTTAACACTCAGCAAAACTCTCAAATAATTTATTGTTTCAGTTTCGCGTGATTTTTGAAAATGCTTCTGTACATTTTTTTTCTTTTCTGATTTGCTCAAAAACGTCCAGTTCTTTTTTGGTGTTTTCTTTCTACTTCCTCGACTTTGTTTCCCAGTTGTTGCCAAGATTCTTTTGACGGGGTATGTGATTATTTCTTCAACGAAAAAGTATTTACTTCTTTGCTAGTCTGAGTCCTATTGAAAGTATCGCGTCCTTATCTTTATGTTTACTCGGCAAATTACGGTTCAATAAAGATATTTCATTTGTGCGGGAATTTTTGATATTGGTTATTACCAAAATTAGAAATTGCCTCGATTTTTTGTGACTCTCTTTTAAATGGTCTAACTTTCAAAAGCCAGTATTTCTCACAAGCTATTTAGAAACTTTGATAAGATTTTCAAACTTCAGGTAAACCGGGTCCCGTTGAATCAGTAGAAATGAGCGCCACGCTGGCACCCTACCTGGATGCTGTCAAGTCGACTCTTCAGGCAGCTCTCTGTCTCGAGCAGTTTAGCTCACAGGTTGTCGAGCGACACGACAAACCCGGAAGTCGAGGTGCAAACATCGAAGGAATTGCTGATGACTCCCGTCGTAGTTGCACGCAACAAGCTCGAACGAGTGCTCATCGAGCCTTCCGTCAACTCGGTTCGCATCTCATTGGCCATCAAACAATCCGGACGACATTGAACGCATTCTAGCGCACAAGTTCACGGTGCGTATTGTTTATTATATTAAGAACGTTATAATTTTAAGGATTATATACAAGTATATTAAGGATATATGCACAACTATCACTGTCTGTTTATTGTGTATTTACTTTTTACTAATAGATAAAATTTAGCGTTTCATGTGTCAACGAGCCGACAACTTTGTGATTTTGAGAAGGAAACCGATAGAGGGATACGACATCTCGTTTCTCATCACAAACGTGCACACCTCGTCGATGTACAAGCACAAGCTGGTCGATTTCCTAATTCATTTTATGCAAGAAATCGACAAGGAGATCAGCGATATGAAGTTGGCTTTGAATGCCAGAGCGCGTGTGAGTGCCGAAGAGTTCCTCAAACGATTCAATTGAAAGAGTACAACTGATGAAGTGAATAATGTTGCAACTCAGGCCGATCAAAAAAAATGTCAATTTTGCCCACCTGTTTCTTTTTCCATTTTGTGTGCTTGGATGCTCATTTCTTCTATGTGTCTTATTCATGTCGTTGTGACCAATGAGTGATTTTTCGATGTTTCTTGGCTTTACGATTTGCTTGTGTATTTTGTAATCTCATCATTTATTGATTGTGTGCTTATTTATTTATTTTTTTTTTTAAATTATGCGGTTTATATAAATGGCTTAAGGAATGTTATCAGCGTTGGCCCGTGGACGAGTCGGATTGGCGGCGACAAGGAGACTTGCAACACTTCGGGAAAAAGGTTGGGGTTTTGTCATAGATAAAGAAATGTACGAAAGTCCATGCGAGTAATTAAACTATTTTTTTTTATTTTAGCTGGCCAAAAGGATCCGCTGGAACGATACGAACCAAAATTTGAGGATCCACGAGAATATCCAGAGTAAGTAACGCTTTTGGTTCATAACAAAATTCCTTTTTAGATTTCCAGTTCTCAATGTCAGACTTCAAGGATACGATTTTGTGCCACTCGAAAAATATCAATCATTTGTGGACAAGATAGCACGAAGGTTCAACTTTCCTATTGTTGAAAGGTTTGTTTACAATAATACCACTATGCTTTTTTAAGCCTTCAGTTTACAACCAATCTTCATTGATTTCTAGTTACGCTGTTGCGGCTCAAACATGTCGTGCGCTCACTTACAAGCCTCAATCAACGATAGTCGCTGATGAAATCGAATTGGCTGTGTATGATCGAGTAGTAAGTTTTAAAATGTCAATATTATTTTTTTCACAGTAATGCACTTTTTGTTTCAGGTGCGAATAGGTCCAGTACCAGCGCCGAAACTTCAACTTTTCACGCAAATGATTAGAGCACATTGTCCTGTTGGAGTAACGGTAAGTTTCATAGAATTTCCACCAAACATTGTTTTTTAGATTACGATAAAAGAAGCAACGCGAGAAGACGAACAATACCGATACATCCCCGACTTGATGTTGAAAGAAAAGCAAGAAGAATTAAAAAAGTTTGGACAATCCGATCGTTCGAAAAAAATCTTGGATGGGAATAGTTTAGAATGTTGTAAGATTTTTTCTTTGTTATAGGTATTTTTAGTTTTATGTACATTTCTAGACGATTGTTATTGCTGGTTCATTTTATTGTTGCATGGATAAAGCTGATCTCATCAAAAGTGAAATTATGAAAAGAATATCGTATGTCAAAAATTTCTGTACAAGCCTTGGCCATATTTTTAATATTTGTTTTCAGATTTCGATGAACTCGCTCTATCACGAAAAGCAAAGCCGACAATTTTGTCTCGTTCATTGCCTGAATGCACTCCTTCAAAAGAAAGCGTTCTCAGCGGAAAGTGCTGATGAGATTTGCTATCAATTGAATGAGAGTCGACTGCGTGATGGCAGCGATGGCAGCCTATCGGTGGGGGCTTTATTTTTCAGACGAGCACATGCACAAACTCCGCCTGTCTGTTATACCTCTAGCTCTATGTTTGTCCGTGATTTACTCATCTAACGTTATCAACGTTAACGTTACCGTTATTAACAAATAAATTTTAGCCTGGAACGCTGTCGTGGCACCTAGGTCGATGGTTTAATCCACACAGGTAATTGTATTTTTGCTTTTCTTAAAAATCTTTTATTAACGGTTAAGAAAACCCGGATCCAAACGTCGAAAAATTAACCATGCAATTTGGATACCTTTTTCCAGTATTATAGATCATGGATCGGTCTCGGAAATTACGATGTAAATGTCCTGATGGCGGCCTTGGAGTTGCACGATATGGAGGCTACATGGTTCGATCGGCGGAAAGCAGCTGATGAAATTCCATTCAACGAGGTGACTTTTTCATTTGTTTTCTCCAACGAATTACCCGTTACAGATACACGGTTTGATATTCAACATACCATCTACTTCGTTTATCCCATTTTGGAATGGCCGACATTGGTTTACGATTTTACGGTATTATTCTGATTTTAGTAGTTACATTTTGTTTTTTAGATAAGCCAATAAAAAGATTTTCAGCGTTGTTTTACTTTTTTTCAGAGCAGTTTTATATTTAGCTTAACTTGTAAAATTTAAATTTAGACTTGATGACGGCTCTTTCGTGAATTTGGATTCAAAGCTAAAGAAACCCGAGCCAATCGCCGACATTTTGGAGTTCTCGAGAAATATTCTGCAAAACGAGAAGAACCAATTGATATTGGTGCGAAAACAGAATGTACATTGAATTTGCGTATCGCTGTGATCACTTTGACTCGTGTATTGGTCATTACCCTGTGAAATTGCTGTAGATATTATGCTTGAAGTTTTCTTGGAATAAATTTAATAGCAGTTATGAAGAAATTTGCGAGATAAATTACGATCGATCGATATTTAGTAGCCGCCATTGAGGCCGTTGTAGGAGTTGACCTGAATCTGGATAGTCGATTCTTTAATCGAAACTTGGAATCACTTTGATCCCAAATCGAGACGTATCCTTTTTAGTTTTGGACCTGTCTTTAATCGGCTACTGTAATCCTTTTGGGCCTAGTAAGCTACTTGCTAGCCAACGTGTAGCCGAAGAGGATTGGGGTAGCTTATTATGGTCCATTTCCCACTCACCCCCGAGCTCCTGGCCGGACATGGGCAATAAGCAGCATCTCCTCCCGGTGCTCCATCTCTGCCCGGCTCTCCGTCTTTTCCATCCAAACCCGGCTCTCCATCATTACCCGGGCTACCGGCTGGACCTGGTGGACCATCGAATCCTGGCTAAAATTGTAATTTATATTTGCAATCTTTTTTAACAAACCTCTCCAGGTAATCCATTTTCTCCTTTGTTCCCGCGGGCTCCTTGTCGACCAGGACGGCCCGGACGACCCGGTTTACCGATTGACTGAAGCTGGTATATTTTTATGCTTGCATAATTTTGTCAGCTTCCGTTCAACGGTAGTATAACTATGCCGAAAAAGAATTCTGCGTCAATATCAGTACCTATCAAAAAGCAAGGTGCAAGATATTCAGTCTGGCATACTGTACTGTAAGATAAAGAAATTGATCTGAATATCTTTTACATCTTAAGTACCGCGGTATCTTTCCTTTCACTCACCCGTCTCCCATTGAGTCCAGGGGCCCCTGGGCTTCCTGGGACTCCAGGTGCTCCGGGTAGTCCTTCGTCTCCTGGGTCTCCTCGATCTCCTATAGTGAATTATATTTATGGTTAAATATCTACTAACTAAGCAATATTGTTACTAGACCCAAAACATAATTCTTCTACCTCTTTTTTTTCTTACCTCTTTCTCCTCGTTTTCCTGGATGTCCCTTGACTCCCGGTCGGCCATCGTAGCCAGGTCGTCCCGCGGGGCCCTCTGGTCCCTGGAAAAGATAATTTTAGTTCTAGGTTACTTTATTTTTTAGTATAATTATCAAAATTTAATACTTTCCATATTTCTTAAACAAACCGGTGGTCCTGGTGGTCCTTGTGGACACTGAATGCACTCTCCTTCGCTGACAATATTCGAGTAACCACTTCGACCCTTCTGCCCGGGTTCTCCCGGAGTACCATCATCGCCTGGTTCTCCTAAAGATAGATTTTATAAAAAATATAAAAAATATAATATAATTACTTTGTGGGCAAATTTTTCGATTAAAAAATAGCAAGTCGTAGGGCCTAGTTACTTTTTTTAGGCATACTGTGGTGAGAAAGGATACTGGCATCAGAGGAGTTTACAGTAAGACCCGTGGAGGCCTAACCTATTACATTGGGCTACGGTAATTGGTTACAGTTGCAGTTACAGTAATTTGAAAGTAAATAATTTTCTGTACTCTTTGAAAGTTTCGAGTTTCAACTGAAACGACTCGTAACTCTGATTCTACAAAACATCGTTTTGTGTCGCCAAAATGAAGCAAGTTTATATTCCTATGCGTTGAAAATTTTCAAATCCATTGCCAATCGGCAGGGCTATCCAAAAAATCAAAAGCCATGACTAGCCAAGCAAAAAGCTTTCAATTGACCTTGGTCTGGATTTTCAACCTTACTGTTGCTTTTGGCCTAAAGCTTAAAGCTTGGCCTGACGAGAAATTGAGCAACAAATTGGCTTGTCTTGGCTTTGTCTGGCCTGAAAAATCGACCCTAGGAATGAGTCATTGTCTTTCTCAATCTTACAGCTTCATCGGCCAGGCTTTTCCCCAAAAACTCACCCGATTCCCCTTTTGGTCCGGGTGGTCCAACAGGACATCCATGATCGTGATGTTCTCCGCAATTGCAATTCTCTAATTTCTTCTCGGCGCCTCTTTTGGATCTCTAAGAGTGTAGAAAAATTTGTTATTTGAAAGCTATCTTAAAGAATAGATTTCATAAAGGCATTGTTTAAAGCTAGAAATGATATCATTCGATAAATTTTATTTAGAGTATGGGTTTAAAGATGAATTGAATAAAGTAGTAGTCAGAAAAATGCTAGTTTTAATTCTAGTCGGCCTTTGGCTGTGATTGAGTCAATTAGTTTTGTTCTTGTTTAAAACGATAGAATTTTGATATTGAAATTCCACCGAAAAGCCGGAAAGGAGCTCACTTTGAAACTTGAAAAATAGTTGCAAGTAAAGATTTGTGAAACAGTGGTTTGATCGCGTAAAATCGTTTTAATTTATAGAAATTGTATTCTGTAAAGTTTCAATGCCAAACCTGGCTAGGCGTGCTCATCGAGATCTGCGTCAACATGTTCCCCCACGCCTCGTTTGCGTAATTCTAAAGAAGGCTCATTTTGAGATTTGTCGGTTTCAAAATTGCCCCCTCCTATCTGTATGAACTAACTCTAATAAACGACCAATCATAAACACTTATTACCTGAAACTCTCCCATATTCTCCTTTGTTTCCTCATGAAAATTGTTGATATCCCAGGCGAGATGTGCGCAAAGGATCAACACAACAATCATGCATAAACCGCTTCCCATTGTGGCCACACTTGCCACCAGGTTCGTCGTTGAGCCCATCGTTGGTTTGTCTAGAAACACGGGTCATGGAAAACCCCAAGAACCAGAAAGCTTGGCAAATAATAAGTTAAGAAATGAAGGATTTATAAGCTAATAAAATTGATTTGTTTAAATAGAAGAAGGAAAAGTTGAAACTACAAATTGAGCGATCTCAAAGTTTGAGTTTCAAATGGCTCAGTAACAAAGTTCGATTCGATTTCCGATTATGATAGTGTCATAAGCTGTTTTGCCAAAATGACAACTCGTCAAAATCTCGGTTTCAGGTTTTAAAAATAGATTTTTTAAAGCAAATTTTCAAACAACTGAACAAAATGTATCGTAGAAAAAAGAATCCCGATTTTTCAACATAAAAAAAATGTTAAACTTGAACACAGCAAATATTCTAATAGTGGTTCATGAAAAAGTGGCTCACTTTGCGTACCATTAGCAGGCGCCGGTCGCTGAGAACGGCTTATAATGGTTTGAAGCAAAAATCGGATTTTGCTGAGGGCTGGAATACTCCTTTAATGCAAAAATCACGTTTCAAGTTTTTTTTTTTACTTTGGAGATAAAACTAAACCCTAATCAAACTGATATGGTGAAATGGAAATGGTTTGACTTTTAGTTAAAGAAAATTTTAAGCAACTCTTCCGGCTGCACTAAAAATTCGAAATAATAGACAGAGCGCATTTAAACGAAACGAATAAAAACGTGTTTCAACTTTAACGGCGACAAGCAAACATTTTGACAAGTTTAGTTTGCTTGATTCCTTATATATTCCCCTCACCGAAAACCCATTCACGGTCATAACACCATTCGGGAAAGGGGAATGAGGAAAAAGAACCCTTTTCATTACCCATTTTTCCCCCATCCTTATGGTTTTATGTGTAGCCGATCCTCTCCCTTCATTCATCCATTCAGACATTCGGTCCGTGTTTATGAATTTCGATTTTATTTATGTTTCTGGGATAATGACACTAGTAATTTTGGATTATTGCCTGGAAACTAATGACGCTAAAGATTTTCCAGCAAAAATTTTCATTTTTTATCAGATTCTAATCAAATCAATATAGTAGGTTGAGGAAAAAGTAATGTCGCTTTTTGTCACAAAATTGTTTAGTGCTAAAAACATAAACAAACGCACATCAATCAATGAGATATTCTCCATTATTATTGATGACTTGTTCCCATCTTCGTCGCAAGTCCCTGATCCCATCCTCAAAAAAATGGCGAGTTTTCGAGCCAAAAATAAGTGTCGACTGCTTTTTTGATCTGTGCATGATTCTCGAACTTTTCTCCCATAAGAAAACTCTTCAACGACCGAAACAAAAAATAATCTGAAGGGGCCAGGTCCGGACTATAAGGTGCGTGGGGCAGAAGTTTCCAACCAAGCTCGTCGATTTTTTGGTGAGTGATTTTTGCAGTGTGAGGTTTTGCATTATCATGCAAAAATAGCACTTTTGATGTTTCAACACCCAATTTCTTTAAAGCCTCGTTAACTCTCATCAACCGTTTTGAATAAAGATCAGCGGTGACAGTTTCTCCCGAATTCAACAACTCATAATACACCAAACCTTTTGTATTCAACCAACAGCAACGCATAAGTTTCTTTCCATGAATACCGAGTTTTGAAGTTTGTTGTGGGGGTTGACCTAGAGAAAGCCACTGATTCTTGTGCTTCACATTCTCATATTGAATCCATGTTTCATCAGATGTTAAAATTCTTCCTCAAAAATCATGAGATTTGCCTTTTTGAAGCAAAGTAGAGCTAACGATAACACGAGTTGTTTTGTTGCCTTGAGTCAGTTCACGAGGAACCCATCTTCCGCAGTGAATTGTTTTTCCTAATTGATGTAAGTGATTGTCGATTGTTTTTTGGTCGATCCCAAATTTGTCCGCTAACTCACGAGTGGTAAGGGTTGGATTGAGTTCAATGGCATCAAGCCCTGATCTGAAATCTCTTGGGGTCGTCCTCGTCTTGGAAACTTTCATCTCCATCTTTGAAGCGCTGAAACCATCTTTGGCATTGTCTTTCGCTAATGCTGTTTTCCCCAAAAACTTCAATGATTGTCCGATGCGATTCAGCCGCGGATTTCCCTTGTTTAAAATCATACCACAAAGCGGCTCGAAGTCGAAACTTTTCGTCTTGCATTTTGTACCTGAAAATATTATTAAATTTGTAAAAATTTGTAAAAGTCAAATATATGAAAGTATAGAGCGTCTAGCTGATATCTATTTGAAAAAATCGCATAAGCAAAGAACTGGAAAATTGCCAACAACGGGAATTCAAAACCGACATTACTTTTTCCTCAACCTAATAGAAACAAACACCAACAGGCTTTTTCCATGGAGAGTCAACACGTAAAATTGATAAAGTTGCTCGGGAGAGAAGTTTTCCTTTTGGTGGACATCTTCATTTAACTCGTCATCGAAGTAAACATAATCAATCTAAAAACAAAACTGTAGTAGTTTCAATTGGTTTTCAAAACAAAAATTATCCTCAAAATATGTATGTAAAACATTCGGCTTTCAAATTACGTCAAATTCGTTGTGTTGTGCTAAAATAAGGAAAAGTAATTTTTTACATCATTGTTTCAAACTGTCACCGATTTATTCTTTCTTTCCGCTAGGAAAGCCCTTGGAAAAGCAAGAGTTAAATTCTAAAGTTAACGTTAAAGCTTTTACTTGAGAAAATCTCTCCCTTTTTTGAGATCCCAATCTCGCGAGTTTTCACTGTTAAGTCATCAGCGGAAAGTGGAGGGGTTTCTCGATGAAGAAGACTCGTTGAAGCTATGCTTATTGTAACCATTCCATACGTGAAATGACTGTCTCGTTTATTGGACTAGACCCTATGTTGAGATCTGAATTTTGTAATTGTTGTTACCTTTATTTAACGGAGTTGCGGAGTTGATGATTTCGGCCATTCCTGCGCCGACTTTGTGGAGTCCGACCAGTTGCAGCGGCTGAATTTTTGAATTGTTGTCTTGTTGGTTTATTTGAGTAATTCAATTGTAGTAATTCAACAATTCAACACAAATGCTTTAAGGTAGATTTTTCCAGCTAATTTTCTGTTTTTGTAGAAATTTCTAGAGGGCGTACTTTTAGTCCTTGGCTTGATAAATTGATATACCATTAATCTCGACTGCTTAGTGATTACTATTTGTTATTGGAGTGAAAAAAGCACAAATCAACTTAGTATTTAATATTCCTTAATATAAAAAAAGTGAGAGACATTAAATATGCACCAAAAACGACGAAAGCACTCACTATTCTTATTACTCACAAAGTAGGTTATTTCTTTACAATTCAAATTGCTAAGAAACGCTAGTAGTATTACAATTAGCTCGACTAGATCGACTCCGCAATTCCGACACTTGATCTTGGATTTCCTTCAGTGAACGAGCCAGCACTGGACCAAAAGCCTTTGTCGGTATCTAAAATAATACATGTTAAGAGTGAAACAATAAAACAAAAGTTTGTTCAGGTTTATCTTTCGTTCAAACATGATAGCTGCGATAACCAAAACAAACCTCGGGTAATGCTTCGGGACCTGGTGGTGGAGGGTGTTGTGTACGATCACTCTAAAATTACTCATAAAACAGTAATCACATATAAGGCTCACAATCAATTTGGTCAAAACTTCTCGCAGCGATTTCATCACCTCATCATCTGGAAATTGAAAATCCTCGGCCAGCGTTGATTGAATAAACTTCATAAACGTTTCCAAAGTTAACTTCCGTATTGATCCTAAAACAAAATATGTAATTAATATAATTTTTGAACAAACTTTCATGCATTTTCATAATGTTAATAGCCATAGCCATCAGTATCGTGTCACCCTCATAAAGAAAAACGTCCCAAAGTCTCAGAGCAAGCGGAAAAGGTACCCGATCCTGCATTAACCCAATGATCGTTACAAAAAAAATAAACTTGCCAAGAAACACCCGAACCACCATTTTGTTAAGTAGCTGTAGGGAATCCCCTCCTTTTCCTAAGCACTCATTACCATTACCAGTTTGCAAACTGGAAGCTCACAACTCGGTTAGTAAAAAAAACTCACAAGCTGTTTGTGCACTTTTGGTTTATACTTTTTGAGAATTTTCTGAAAGTACTCTTCAAATCGTTGCCATTTTGGAAAACCGAGCACAAAGAAACCTGTAAAAAGTATATTAAACACTACTATTAAACAAACAAATATATAGCTCACCATGCATTGAATGCCTTTCAGAAACCATCAAAGCGTGAAGACACCAGAAAGCCTCTTCTTCATCAAGAAACATCAGAAAAAGAGCGGTGATTTGAGACATTCCCCGAATAAGAAAAGTTGATGACTAATAAATAAATCGTTTACCTGGCAATAGCCGACCTCCGTGTTGTACATCGAATAAGCAGCAAGCACGTTTAACAAAGACCTTTGCCTGAAATGATATTATTGTTTTTGTTTTTTTAACTGAATTGCTATTCAGTCGTTAAGTGTTAACACTACTTCAAAAATTGTTACTTGATACTTCAAAATTAAAATCGTTACTTGATACCATATCGTCGGCGAAACATCTGATTGTCTCGATATGTTCGATTGATGTCTAGGTCAATTTGTTTGATGTCCTTTGATATTAATCGGGCTCTGTCCACTAGTTTGACATAAATCTATATAACGAGTTCAGTTGTAATAAAATGAAATTTTTACATCGTCTCCTTTGCTCTGGGCTTTCAGCTCCTCGATTCCAAGCAACTTAGGCCATACCTTAAGTGGTTCAGTTTTAAACATAGAGCACCACGTGACAAAAATAATTTTTAGGCTTAAAGTTTTAAGTAAATCCTACTCGTATCCGTAGCTTGAGAGGCACTCCTTTCCATACTCGTTCATCTAACTTTTTCACCGGCCGTTTCGCATTGTGATAACATTGAGAGCCATTTTTTCTCGCGTCTAATCTAAAAGCTCAATATTTGAAAGCTGTGTATTGCAATTGGCTAAGCTTTTGACATTTAAAAAATTGCAGTTAAGCCTCTGTGAAAAAACAAAATTCCAGGAAATCTTTTGAAAGATAGACAGATAGTTAAAAACGGCTAATCACACCAAAATTGGAGTTTGCTTTTTTCTTTGTACCAACAAACGGGATCAAATTTCGTTAGTTAAAATAGTTATTATGGTTCGTCAATTAAATCTTACTTCTGTTTCTATTCGTTCTTTTTCACTTTGAACACGTTCAGCTTCCGATAGGCCTTCTTTGCTAAATTTATATTTGTCGTTAAAAACACATGAACCAAACTGTATGAAACCGTGACGATCTGTCTTTCTGTACACATCCCAATCGAGGTTCTCCCAGTCATCGATCCACGGATCCTCAGGTCCCTAAATAAACTCGTAAAACGTAATATTTTTTTACTCTTTTAATATTAATCTGATACCATTCCTAATGCTTTACCTTTTCATACATTTCGATAATTCTTTCTCGTTCGATTTGCTCCAACACTTCCGGATCATCGCTTTTTGCCTCTTCACTCGATGACGCGACAACATCATCAGAAACTAACATAAACAAATTGCAAAAATAATATTCATATTTCTCACTTAAACTTCTGACGCTATTGTTCGGAAATGCTGGAACATTAAGTTTAGCCGAGAATAGCTCAACCTTTTTCTTACTCTCGCGTAACGCCTAATTTTGCGTGCTTTAGAGTATCACTGAATGTTTTGCACTTGTTTTCGAAACGTAAGCTCATTGTTCGTAATTTAGGGGTCACTTGAGTTATCGTATAGTCTATCCCCTTCAATAAAACGATCTTTAAGTTGGCTGATATCGACTCGGAGATGCATGGATTTTTGGGGTGATTACTTGAGAGAAACAATAAATTTTTTGTTTGAGTCCATTCTCGACTTCCATGTCCAAAAGTTAAACTACGTTTTTATAATTTAACTATGCAAAAAGATGACCAATTGAAACAAACTCTGTTGTTCATCGATGGCATTGCCATCACCGTCACCGTCTTCAATTTCTTCAGCACCAAGATCGATGGCAATGTCTTCGCCATCAATCTGAATACGCAGTAAAATGTGTCAACAATATAAAAACTTGTCAGTTCCTCGACAACTGGTTCATCGACGATTAAATCATCCCTTTTAATTGGATAGTTCGTAACGCGAACACCGTCGACCATCACTTGACGAACTAGCTAAATCAAATTTTTTAGTCAAAAAATTACTTTGCTAACTAAATACCTTGCTTTCATCGGTTTTGGTTGGTGGATTTTCGTTGAACTCCGGCTCATTGTATTGCACTTGCACATTCCAGCCGAGACAAATAAATTCCTGTCTATCGTATTTCGCCTTGAGCAAGAGCCCGGCTACACCAAGGGAGGGCATCTTTTGGAATTTTCGATACATCAGCCGGATCAGTCAAAAAAAATTGGGCATACAAAAGCACCAAAATATCAAAACCTGAAACACAAATTGATGCCGTCCTTCGGGTGTAGGCCAAATGAAAACAGAGTCGAGAAGCTGGTCATGTTCACTGCTTGCACCAGAGCCGACGTAGATGAGCTGCCATTCAATATCTGAAACAAGAATGATTTTGAAACTGGAATAACACTACGCTGTGCTTCTAGCAGTACACAAATAGGTATTTAAATCAACGCTAAAAACAATTGAGTAATTATTGCCAATAAAACTTGTGGCTATCGCACTTACTATTAGCCTTATTAATTCCATTTACCAATCACAAATAAATTTACCTTTCTCAAGATGAGAAAACGCCTCAAAGGTGACCTCGAGCTTGAACGGCTGCTTGAAGGAGCACGGATTGTCGACGAAGTTCACACTCACGATGTTTATTCTGGTCATTTCCTAAAAAAGAAAAATTAAAATCGAAGAATCCAGAAGGAAAATTGTTAAATCGAACATAAAAACGAAGCCAGGCCAGGTGGTTTTAAAAAAGTGCGATTCAAAAGTGTCGCACCACGAGACGAAACACGGAATGACCGAAAACAGTAGCTAATGAACAAGTTTCGCCGACTTTTTGCCCCTTCACACATAAGAGAAAAAAAAACGATGAGCAACAAGTGGTTTATGTTATAGCTATTATGTATTATGTACTAAAAATCAATACCAACTTGATTAGAAATTTTATCGAAAAAAGTTTAGAAAATAGGTACAACTGCCCCATTGTTGTACTGTTTAGATGTTTAGATGTTGTGTAGCGGGTAACAAGTATGAGCGAACTTGATTGTTCTGGTAATATATTTCAACAAACAAGTATGAGCTAACTTGATTGTTCTGGTAATGGTAAAACCTCACAAATCCACAGACTTCAGATGGAATCAGTAGCAAATACTTCCCAGTAGAGAATCAAATATTAAATTAACTGTAGTGAAAAAGATAAAGCCTGCAGTTGTCAGATTGAATTCAATAGTTTGAATTTACTTTAAATACAATAAAAGTTATCAAATTTAAAATTTCTATTTTTTAATGCTGACCGATCCGAATTTGATAATTGATTCATAATTGTTAATGTACAATAAATGTTATCAGTTAAAAATTTGTCTTTTTTTGCTCTTGTCTGCCTTAAAACCAAAACTTTATCTTGTCGCGACAATTATGGCGCACTCTGTATGAATGGAACACTGAAATATGGGCTCGCAGTTCGAATAAAGCATACATTGCTCAAGATAATTTGAAAAGACTATACAAAGAGATCTAATAACAATGTCAGAACTGTAAAGCTGAAATCAAAACATTTTTTAAAGTCTTTGCCGGACTTTTCAAAAACCCGTTGTTCGAGGCCATGTCTGTACTCATGTCTACTTACTACTGTAGTTAAAGTATGTAAGCTACATTTGATTTCACAAGAATTGCAATATTTAAACATCAACACAAACCTTCAAAAAAGATGTGCTGTCAACACAGGTATGTGTTGAAAGTTATGGTTTCAAATAAAAAATCCAAAACATAAAATGTTTCAATTAATTCATCGTCTTCATCTCAAATGTACATCTTTATTCAATTTCAATTTCAATTTAAAGAAGTTTAAAAAAGATACAATCGATCAGATTTCAGCATTGACAAAAGAGCACCCGACTCAACAAAAAAAAGAGAGGTTCGACGAATTTTTGGGGAAAGCATTTGCGATATTTGAGATTCATTGGGCATTTTTTTAGAGTAATAAACAGTTTGAGACAGAAAATTTACAAATTTTTACACAAAATTTCAATTTCCATTATTTTCAACGATATCTTCTTCGTCGGAGTCGGAGTGCTAAAAAAAATTAGGTTAAAATCATTGTGTCTCATCTTTTTCGGCACCTTTATTACAATCCATACATTAATGAAGTTAAAACTTTTCTTTTTTCAATCCGTTTCGATTATATTTTTGTGCATGTAAACTGCAATTGTAGTCTCATTTTAAGAATTAAAAAAAATAAAATTCTGTAGTGAACAAAGAAAAATGTTTTCTTTTAGTCAATAAAGAATTTCCTTGTTAACTTTGCGATTCAAAAAGAAATGTTTCAATTTATCACGATTCAACTCTAAATTTTTCAGTTTAATATATTTTCTTTAACGTAACGTAAACATTAGCAGTTGTTCAATTTTTAAGGGAATTGATTTAGGTTAAAACCTCACCTGATCCCAGCATAATTTTCGCTTCCCAGTGCTCGTTGTCGTGCCGAGATTTCCGACTTGTTGTATCGGTTTGTTCGTTTCGTTTTGAGCCGCCAAAATTTGAATGAGTCGAACGCCGAGCTCGGCTGTCATTTGGCGTTGTTGGAGAACCTGGAAAACGGTGGTTTGCCTTGAAAAGTTGAGTTTCAACGAAAACGATTCGTAGTTGACTTTTGTGGGGATATAGTCGGCTCTCGATATAACGATTTTTGATATAACCATTTTCGATATAATGATTTCATTTCGCGATCCCGACAGAATCCTCATTTGGAGAGTCGATTGTAATTCCATTGACAATTTGAGGACAAAGATTTCAATTTTTTAGTGTGTGTGTGTGTGTTGACTACTTCATAGGCGCACCCGTGTTTACACCCGCATTTACTGTCGTGTAAAAGTTTTCCTTTTCTTGTGCATATTTTATTATTAAATTATAAGTTTTGTTAATTTCCAGGTGAATGGCACACGGAAAAGCTGCTCACGGATCATGATAAAGGCCAGATTGATGCGCGTTTTAAAATTCGCGGAGAAGCAAACTCAATAAGAGAAATCGCAAAAGATTTGGGCAAAAGATCCGACTGTGCCGTGCGAAATTGTATCAAGTTGAAGGCCGTTTTTTTCACCAACGAAGAAGCCAGGACCAAAGCCAAAGCTTACACCACGAGCTAGACGCCATATTGGGAACAGCATTCACGGAAAAACAATCAATGAAGTGAAAACGGAACTGAAAATCGACGCTTCGAAGTCGACATTTTGGCGAACCATCAAGGAAAACCCACATATCGATCGACAATTATTGAACATCTCATTGTTGAATTATTGAACAATTATTGAACAACCGGTCGTGAAGCTTTTGCACAAGAAAGCCCGATTGGCGTTCGCCAAGGCTCATATGAATCGCGATTGGTCTATGGTTAGAAAGCCGCTTATGTTTTATTATTTTTTTTTGCTTTTAGGTGATCTTTTCCGATGAGAAGAAATGGAATTAGGATGGTCCCAATGGCGTTGAAAATTTGGGCCGATCCGACTCTGCCGTGCGAAATTATAGAAAGTCCGAGTTCGTTTCTGCACCAAAGAAGAAGCCAGGACCAAAACCAAAGCTTACACCACGAGCTAGACCCCATATTGGGAACAACATTCACGGAAAAAACGATCAATGAAGTGAAAACGGAACTGAAAATCGACGCTTCAACCTTTTCGACCAGTGTGTTTACTTTTTCTTCAGCACAAAGTACCCTCATACCTCATTTAGCAAAAGCAAATTGATCTGCTGAGCGTTTGTCGGAGTGACGTTGGCGGTGACTGAAAATTTGAATTTTTAAGTTCAGTTTAAGTTATTCATTTTTACCCAAATGCTCGTTGCTTTCTTTTGAGGTTGATGGGTTTTGGGGGAAAGTGTCGAAATTCTCCTCCCCTTCAAAGCCATTTTCACCGCCATTCTTCAAACGATCCTGTTCCTCGAAGAGCTCGTGGATGAAATCCTGAAAATGACTTGAGACTTTGAAACATTTTCACCTCGGAGCACTGGATTCGGTTTCGACGTATGAGTTTTGACAGTAATGTAAAGCCCCAGTCCCCTGGATTACGGTAGTTTGTATAAAAATAGGTGCTTTTTAGAAAACGTATTGGTGAAAAGGAAAACAGGACGAATGGTGTATGATTTACCGTTTCTTTGAAAAAAGTAAAGTTTCAATTTCGTTGGAGTCAAACGGCGAAAAGCTGCATCAATGAAAAAAATGGGCTTTTTTTCTCCTCGATTAATGAAATTTTAGTGTTTTACAGTATTTTAGCAAAATCCTATCGACATCCTATCAAAATCCTATCATTTCCCCCTCCTCACTCACATGCACATCTTTCGCCACTCCATTCACTGGATCGTCGCGGCTTTGGTGCAAATCGAAAGCATTCTCGCAAATCGATCGAATCTGGAATTTGAAAAAATAAGTTTTTCAAAGTTCAATCTCAAAGTCATTTTTGCATTAACAAATTTGTGGTAAGGTTAAAATTTTCCCAAAAACAAAACCTCATGCAACAGTTCGATAGCCGATGAATATGGTCGTTGTCGGAACGTTTGAAAGGCACGATCCATGCAATGAAGCCTGAAATTTTCAAGTCTCGAATAAATTCAATTACTTATTGGTAAAAAGTTAATAAACAAGAAAAAAAAATCAAGTTAGACGGTACCGTAAGAATAAGAGAACATTAATAGTTTAAGAGGTTTTATAGTTTACGATCGAGCAAATGAAAAGAAAAATTGAAACAAGAAAATCTCAATTTTCCGCTAAAATTTTAACTTTTCAAGTTCCCAAGCTACTTCTTTCTTTAAAATCACCAAAATATTTCTAAAGAAATTGTTTTGTACAGAATAATGTCCCGTTAATAAATAAAAGAAATGTAAATAAATACCGTATTTTCTCTAATAGTAGTGCAACCAGCCGAGCCGAGTTGGTGACTATTTTATGGTTTCCAAGCTTTTCCAGAAGCTGAACACTCAAATCCCCCACTAGAGCTCATCGTCAGCTACATTTTCCGACCCCAGATCGATAGGTTCTGATAAGCGCTTTTCGAGATTTCGAGAAATTTAGGCAACGCTCTGGGTGCACTCTATTGGAGAGAATACGGTATATGCATATGTCCGCTATTATTAACCCAATGAACTGAAATTGAAATTGAAATTGAAAAACTTGAAACTTATACATTCACAATGCAAAAAAAAACCAATTTCCCAGTGCTTTCTTTGCTTCAATAATTCACAGTACTTGTTTTGTCCAAAACGAAAAAAAGTGTGGGCGTTTTTTCCACGAAAAATCTACTCCTCGAGTTTTCAAAGACTGAAAATCGAAAGGGAAAAAGGAAATTTGATGTGGAATCGTAATTACCAGCCTAATTATCGAAATTGATCACGTGTTATTATTGAAAGGAAATTTTTTGGTACATGTGATTTTTGCGGAAACGACAAAGAAAACTTTTTGCTTCAAAAAGAAACGAAAAAAAAACTTGAAATGAACTTTTGCCGAATTTTCGGATTAGCATTTGCAGAGTTCGGTGGAGAAATTCGAAAAACACGCAACTCATTTGTGGTTTCGAAATTTGGCACCAACTTTAGCGATAAGCATTTCTCATTTTTTTTTTGGAAATAGGAAATGGGAAATAGATTTTCTTCCGTTCTAAATGTGTTAGTTTCAAGTT